TCATCCTCATTCTTCTTCTTCATCCTCTTCTTCTTCATCCTTCTTCTTCATCCTCTTCTTTTCATGCTCTTCTTCTTCATGCTCTTCTTCTTCTTCATCCTCTTCTTCTTCTTCATCCTCTTCTTCTTCTTCATCCTCTTCTTCATCCTCTTCTTCTTCTTCATCCTCTTCTTCTTCTTCATCCATCCTCTTCTTTCATCCTCTTCTTCTTCTTCTTCTCTTCTTCTTCTTCATCTCTCTTCTTCATCTTCTTCTTCTTCATCATCTTCTTCTTCATCATCTTCTTCTTCATCCTCCTCTTCCTCTATTTCTTCATCTTCTCCTCTTCCTCTATTTCTTCATCCTCTTCCTCTATTTCTTTATCCTCTTCCTCTTTTCTTTATCCTCTTCCTCTTTTTCTTTTTCTTTATCCTCTTCCTCTTTTTCTTTATCCTCTTCCTCTTTTTCTTCATCCTCTTCCTCTTTTTCTTCATCCTCTTCCTCTTTTTCTTCATCCTCTTCCTCTTCTTCTTCTTCTTGCAGGTCACTGCTCATGCGCAGATATTTTTTATCGGTAAAAAGATCGTCCGATTTGCCCATAATTGCCGCGAAAATCGGCCAATCAGCAAAATCGGCTGATTTTTTCCAACTTTGCCGATAAAGAAAATCTGCCAAAATACCGAAAAAACGGCCGAACAATTAGCCCAGTAACGATCCGAAAATCGGCTGATTTTATTTTCGGTAGAAAAATCGGCCGATTTTCGACCCATCTATGGCCTGCATTAGGCCCCTTTCACACTTGCGGACGGTTCGTTTCATCAGTTCAGTCAGCTTTTCAAACAATAAAAGGATAAAGTTTACATACGTTTTTACATCAGTTTTTTTTTGCACTTGCAAAGCAGAAATGGACCATTTGTCCATTTACATCCATTTTTTGTCTGTTCCATTTTTTTTAACGGAACAAAAATAAGCTTTGATCAGTTTATAGAAAAAAAAAACGGATGCTGACAGATGTGATTGTAAATGGCTGATCATCCATTTACATCTATTTTTCCATAGAGATGCAATGATGTCCATTTTTTATCCATCAACGGATGGATATAAAACAGACAAACGATCTGCAAGTGTGAAAGGGACCTAAGGGTCCTTTTACATGGCGTTCTGTTTTGTTTTGTTAATCAGTTCAGTCATGTTTTGTTTTTTTAAGAAAAAAACAGATGAAGTTTTACATCAGTTCAATGCAAAAACTGACAGTTTACATCCGTTTTTCATTTGTTCCATATTTTTTTTTTTTTTTTAACGGAACAAAAACAAGGAGTTGATCCATTTTGAAAAAACAGATGTTGATGGATGCGGATGTAGATAGATGATCATCCGTTTGCATCAGTCTTTCCATAGAGATGCATTGGTGTCCGTTTTCATCCATCGACGGATGGATGAAAAATTGACAAACCGATCTCCTGTGTGAGGATGCATGCATCAACCCTGTATCTTTTTTTTTGTTCAGCTAGCGATGCAGTTTTGTGTAAAAGCAATTTTATACACAAAGAAATCATGCTGGCAGAGAAGAGAAAAGCAGCTGGCAAAGACAATTAGATGCATTGTTGCGCTGAATTTGGTGACAAACATTAAGTCGTAAATATATATTATTCAAAATAAATCACATAACTAAAAAAGTGTATAGAAAATTAAAAAAAAAGTTTCAGTTGTATTCAAAATCATGCACATTATAGTGAAGAGATCCTTGTTCATCCATGAATTTCCAACACTATGGTATACCGCCACCATAGGCTTCGAGGACGCTTACTGAAACATGTGGACTCTTTTGATAAAGAGTCAGGGAAGTGAGTGATTTAATATCTTCTGCAGCAGACCCCTTATCTCCTCCACATCACCACAAAAGGCTACCAAGAGTCAATCACATGTCTGATATTACCTCCATATCTCTCCATATACTCAATAAGACATCACATCCAGTGATAGGAAGTAATCATTCATGACATGAAAGAGAGGCAAGGGAGCTCACTTAGTGTAAAACCGTAAATGTATGTTTATTTAAAAAAAAAAGTAATTATCCACTCACATATAAAAAAATTTGAAAGGGCTTTGTAAGTATAAAAGTGTCAGTCCTGGGAGACGATCTGGTCTAGTTCCTCGTTGTGACCAGTGTGGTGATGTCACGAGCATAAACTCCTCCCTACACGTTTCGTCACAATTGATATTGTGATGAAACGCATAGGGTGGAGCTTATGCTTGTGACGTCACCATGCTGATGACCCCACAGCGCCCCCACTCTCCAAATGGGACCCTCTGACCCACCAGGTCAACTAGGAAGAGCTTTGGCTGTTTCTCACCCAGATAGGTATCTGAATCCTCCGTGTCACCCTGGCACACCTGATACTTCATAGAGCTATGAGTCCTGTGTTTGGCCTAGTGCCCTTTCCTGTCATCCTCATTGTGGGATACTTGGATGTTACTTCTGGTCAAAGTAAGTGTAGTGGATCATAGTGCACAACATCTTCCCAAAAGACTTAACACCTGTCTGTGACCTGTAGGCAAGGGTAATTAAAAAGATTCCTTGCTGCAAAGGTCCACGGCATGTTTACTTTAAGGCCCCTCATCATCAGACAGAAAGGTACCCCTCTTTTCTTCCTTTATGAATGTTGGGTGCTGGAGGTCATCTTTCTCCCAGTTTATCTTGGTCTACTTTAGCCCCCTTCTTTGCTGTTGTGGGTCTGTTTCTTGAGTAGTCTAAGACTTCAGTTTCTATGGACCAGGTAGTACCTAGTTTGATCATCCTCCATCAGGTGGCTTGTAGGGATTATTCTCTCCCTTTGGGGAATGTCTCTTATTGGAGGATCACTATTTCTGGAGCTGCCTTCTGGCCTTCCAGAACATTATGGTATCCTGCATGAGGCAGGTTTGCTGGTTCAGACTCCATTGAAAACCATTTTGGTACTGCTTTGCTATTACCTCTGAGTAGTCCGTACCTAGGCAGGAGATAGTCTCCTTCTTCATTCCTTTTAATGGGCAGTCCCTTGGAAACCAATTCCTCTCAACTAATAGGCTCTAGACATGGAGGAGAAATTCATGCATTTAAAAGAACCCGAGATCTTGTGTGGAAGGTGAAGGACCCAATGTTTTGCTGGTGTGTTCGCAGGCAGTAAACACTAGTGTCTTGCTGCAGGTATCCTCTGACAGAACAGAGAACACCTTATTGACTTTGGGTACCGGTTCACCTCAGATTAGGTCTCTCATTCTTTGGCTATTTCACAGCTTCTTGAGGAATGTCCTTTAGATCCCTTCCCTTCAGTCAGGCAAATGTTCTTTGCTGTAATGCCAAGATACCTGTTTTCTTACTCTATAAATGCTGAGGCTTTGCTCTTTCTGGGGAATCAGAAACATGGTTAGATTTACACTTGAGGTCATTTATAGGCAGATTTGTGCTTCAGAAGGATCGCCCTGAAAAGTCCCTATTGCATCACCCTGAGAACACCATTCCCACAGTGAAGCATGGTAGTGGAAGCATCGTATTGTAGGGATGCTTTTCATTGGCAGGGATTGGCAAACTGGTCAGGATTAAAGGAAATGGATGGCACTACTTAAAAGACAATTCTTGATTAAAACCATGTTTTAGTCAGGCCGAAATTTGTGACTGGCATGTAGGTTCACCTTCCAGCAGGACAATGACCCTAAAACACACTACTAAAGCTACACTTAAGTGATTTAAAGGAAAACATTTAAATGTCTTGGAATGAACTATTCAAAACCCAGACCGCAATCCAATTGAGAATTTGTGGCATGACCCAATGGTTACAGGGATGTGGAAATGTTTTAAAAAACTACTTGTCCAGGGACTAAATCATGGTCCCAAACTACTTGTCCCTCATGGCAATCTACTTGTCCTTAATATTTTTAACATTGCACTGTTTTATCTCCTCCTCCCCTCCCTGCCTCTCTCCAGCACTGCACCCGGGGACATCAAAGTCCCCATCTTTACCCCTGTACATCAGAGTCCCCCCTGACATCAGTGTCCAGCGGAGTCCCTGCTTACATCAGACCCTGGCGGAGTGCCCCCTTTAGTCAGCGCTCAGCGGGGTGCCTCCTTTACTCAAAGTTTAGCTGCTAATTGGACATGAAATAGTTAAGTGTGAAGCTCCTGGAAGAACAGGGAGTGGGGAGGTAGATAAGGAGAGAAAGGAAGGAAGTGGGGAAAGCTCCCTGGTAGAGCAGAGATCGCTCATCCTCAGGCTGCTCTCTGCAGGCTCAGACATTGGCAATCATACAGCCGGATAGATCTTCAGATTTCCCGCTCACGGGGCAGTGACAGAGGAGAGGGGCAGGAAGAGGTGGAGCAAAACATAATCTCCCTCCTTTCTCATCTAGGTAGGGAGGGAGGGGGGGAAGTGTGCTATCTGAACGAGTGTCACAGACACTGAGCATGCACAGCTACAGCCTGTCCGCTGCAGAGTTTACCAACTACTTTCTTAAGCAAGCCCTGCTGCTTGTCTGTAGCAGGGCTAAATGTAAGGAACAACAACCTGCCCGGTACCCGGAACTACATGTCCTGGGCGTCGGGTGATAGGATTTGCACATCCCTGGGTTTGATATGGTAAGATAATAGAGACATACCCCAAATTTTCGGTTGTAAATATAACAGGAATGGATGGGGACTCTTCTAATAGGAACAATAGTTTTGGTAACCTGGTTGACAACCAGGGATTCCCTTACTTTGGAGGGATTTCATCTTGCTTCCTGTTGTGGCTTTCAGGAATTTCAAGGGAAATCTCCCTAAAAGGACACAAATGGCAAAATAAAAACTGGCAGGGGTTATAACCCTTCTTTACCCAAAATGGAAAAAAAAGTTTTGTCTTTAGACCTACTTCAATATTATTAAGTACTGCTTTCACTGTAATAGAGCTATTTTGTATATAGGGCACCCCTAACTTTAAATGCTATTTTTATTTTTATTAGTGAGTTACCTTGGCACATTTTTTAAACTTATGCTTCATTTTTTTCAGACCACTGGCTTGGTTGGATTAGCTGTATCCCAGAATCCACATGAGGTATGTTTAAAGTTTTGTTCTGATTTTCATTTTCAGATTGTAGTGTAGAATTTTGCATTAAGATAAAGTGACTGCTTTTCAGTCTTACACATCATTATGTACTTGTTCCTTTAACCATGCAGCGCTTGAATATATTGTATACAAAGATCCTTGCTGCCCTGCAGACCATTCCAAACGATGCAGCATACCGGAAATACACAGAACAGATCATCAGTGAACGATATAATGCAGTAAAGACTGTAAGTAATTAAAAATCATCACTAAAATGAAACTTAACTAATTTATCTATAGAGATGAGGAAAAGTCTTCAAATAATATTGCTGTTGTCTCAAATATTGTAACCTACCGGCTCATTCTGATGGCCATCTGCTAATGAGAATCTTGCCAGCAAAGAAACTAGTTCAAGGCACACAGCCATGGCAAGATTTGTACCTTGTACAAATCAATAGCCGGCACTGTCAGGACTTTTGAATGGCCCTAGGTGGTTCTAACAGCATAGAAACTGGAAATAGTTAGTCCTGCAGTTTGCATGCGGCCAGTACTGATGCTCTGGATATAGGATTTAGTCACAGCTGAATTCTGCCATTGAACTCCCCTTTTAGCTGTCCTAACAGTTTTTTTTTTTAATTTAAAATTTTAGGCGTGGTAAGTAAAGGCAAATCCAAACTCTAAACCTACTCTTAGTCACATTCTAAGCCTAATCTATCTTGCCCTGTAAAAAAAAAAAACAATAATTATTCTTACTGTAGCTGCTCCTGTCTCATCCCATGCTGAACTGTCAGCAGAGGCTTCAGTGTGTAGGAGTGTGCAGGAGAGACAGCTGACAACGGAAGCCCCATAGTAACTCTATGGGTGATGTCACTTCCCAGACATTTTCCAGCCATTGTCCGCTATCTCCAGCACACAAGGCGCGCCACTGGGGACAGGACCGGAGAAGCTACAGAACAGTTTTTGTTTTTCTGAAGCACCCTATAACATTTTTATTAACATTGTCCCTGTCAATAGTTTTAATCAAAATGTTATATCTGGCCTCCCAATAGTCATTTCTTTAAAGCCCAACTCCAGGCAAAATCTACCTTCACAAACACGGTGTACATTGTAGTAATATTTGATCCATTCACCTCACAGCAGCATCTCTCTTGTCAGATGGTTCATGAAGGTCACTGCTCAGAGTCCCTTTAGCTTTGGGTGGCTAGTCCCCTCCCCTGCGTAGTTTGAGTTGCTGTTTGGCTGGGGTGAGCGGTAAAGGAACAGAGGGCACATGGATGACAATGGTATGTGGGTGGTTACAAGATTACTCCCCCTGACACTGCCCACAGACCTGTCCAAATAATGCCCTAACATTCCGATGCACCAAGGGTGTGTAGTTTCCTGGTGCTGAGGAAAGCGCGTGGAAAAAGAGGTACAATGCTAATTACTGCCCACTCACATAGTAAAGAGGGGAAAAGAAAAACAGATGGTTTTAATGATGTCACAGGCACTTTAGATCAGCACTCTAGAACTAGAGGATTAGTCTGTTGCTTCTAGCCGGGGGCCGGACCAAGAGTAGATGAATGATGTGTATGTGTCATCCATAGTAAGTATAGTAATATTCCCCCATAGTAAGCATAGTAATTAATCCCCCATATAGTAATTCATCCCCCATATAGTAATTCATCCCCCATATAGTAATTCATCCCCCATATAGTAATTCATCCCCCATATAGTAATTCATCCCCCATATAGTAATTCATCCCCCTATAGTAATTCATCCCCCCTATAGTAATTCATCCCCCATATAGTAATTCATCCCCCATAGTAATTCATCCCCCATATAGTAATTCATTCTCCATATTAATTCATCCCCCATAGTACTATTCCCCCCCAAGTAGTAAGCCAAGTCCCCCGTGTCAATTCACTTACCTTTGCTCCGCGCGTTCCTCTCGCCGTGTTCCCGCGCCGTTCCGGTCTTCAGGGCGGACTGTGAGAGGAGCCTAGCTCCCCTCACGTTCGTCACGCTGCCCCCGCCTACACACATCCTGACAGCCACATCCGCGGGGCCGGATTAAAAGGTCCGCCGGGCCGTAGTTTGCCCATTGCTGGTCTAGGCCATCTTTATGTAGAGCAACAATTCTTTTTTTTGAGATCCTCAGAGAGTTCTTTGCCATGAGGTGCCATGTTGAACTTCCAGTGACCAGTGTGAGAGAGTGAGAGCGATTTAACACCAAATTTAACACACCTGCTCCCCATTCAGACCTGAGACCTTGTAACACTAACGAGTCACATGACACCAGGGAGGGAAAATGGCTAATTGGGCCCAGTTTGGACATTTTCACTTAGGGGTGTACTCACTTTTGTTGCCAGTGGTTTAGACATTAATGGCTGTGTGAGGAGTTATTTTGAGGGGACAGCAAATTTACACTTATACAAGCTGTACACGCACTACTTTACATTGTAGCAGTGTCATTTCTTCAGTGGTGTCACATGAAAAGATATAATAAAATGTTTACAACGTGTGAGGGGTGTACTCACTTCTGTGAGATACTGTATCTCAGCCACTGCTTCTTTCAGAAAGACTGGTTTTCTATTTGTCATACCCAATGGTACTTGTATAGGTGTACAGGCTTCTCGTTCAAACCATCTCTAGGTGGCTCAGACAGGCCATCATCCAAATTTAGGTTCCATTTTTTTCTGTCAAGGTGCACTCAACTAGATCTGTAAGTGTTTATTGGGCTTTTCAGCATCGAGCAACTGTTTCCTAGATTTCCAAGGCTGTGCCCTAATGTTCACTTATTCTCGTAGTTCTACCTGGTGAAGGTTGCAGCTTCATCTGATGCCAGCTTTAGACATACGGTCATTCAGGTGGCTTTCAGTCCTTTTTTTGAGTCCATTGAGTGTTCCCACCCTGTTGTGTTTATGATCATGCTCTTGGTACTGCTTTGCTACACAATTGAGGCATGATGGTAGTAGGAAGGATTATCCTGTGTGGCCTACAATTTTTTTTTTTTGTTTGTAAGTGTTCAATCCTGTCGGTGGCAGTTTAACCCAAATGTGTAAGACTTCCTGTGTACTTCAGTTAAACTCAAAAAGAGTTTAAGGTAAGTACAAATATCTTATTATATCTTCCCAAATTTACTGTTCTGCTCAGCTGGTGTGGTCAACATGATGGTGTTATATAAGTTCCTTATAATGTGTATACCTATAATGGCGCATAAAAAGCAATGATAATGTACTCTGCATTCTTTATCTGGATCGTTTAGATGTGTGTTTAAAGTTTAGGTCCCGGTCTCTTTATTTTGCATTATGTATTAATACTATTAACTGTCTTTTTATTTTGTATTTCTAGGAATCCAATGTTGAGAAACTGGAGCAGAAAATGAATTGTGGCCAAATTGAAGAAGTCATTCAACAGGTAAAACCACTAGGAGTTAGTGGCTGTTGCATGCTGGGTAGCCAAATGTTATGACAATGGAATCACTGAAGAAGCATCTTCAAAAAGTCTTAAGACTTCTTAAGTCTTAGACTTTGAAATGAGATAAATAGTGATATTTCTGCATAGCCTAACAATCTAAAATGCAAACTAAGCACTCATATTAGATCTGTGAAGCCTACAGTTTAATACGTGTACTGAGTGTATCAGTTATGATAGAAGTATAGATGCCATAACATCAGAAAAGTTGCCACATGTAGGGGTACACTGGTGTTTTGTTATTTTTTTACAGAATTGTTCTGACAAACACAAACCTGCTTGCATAAGCAAACCTATTTGTGAACTCATATTCACAATTGTTCTATGCTGTCCCTGAGTGTTCTGTTTGTAAAGCTAGGATTTCAACTCTGGCTGTATGTAGCAGGGTGTGCTTTGTGTGTTTTTATTATACACGGTATATGTATATAATATGTGTGTGTATTTTTTTTCTTTTAAGGCTGAGAATGAATTATATCTGGCAAGAAAAATGTCTGTGTGGAAACCTTGGGAGCCTTTAATTGAAGAATCTCCTGCAGATCAGTGGAAGTGGCCAGTCTAGCATTTCACTTATCTGTAAATATTTGTATAAAGTTGCAAGGGATATCTTCTAAAAAATAGTATTTCCAGTTCTCAATAAAATTCCTATCCATCAGATTTGTATATATGTGTTAAAAATATTTCTTGCTGCTTTTTTTTTTTAAATATTTTATTTTCAGCATTAACATGAGACCTGGCCAAATAAAAGACAAAAAGCTACTCACTGTATGTGGGGTTAGTCAAACACAAGTGTCTGTTTTCTGGTTCCAACTTTCTGTGGTTCTAGTAATTTTTTTTTCCACTAGAACTGGCCAGACTATTATCTGTTTTCTATAATGTGAAAGAAGTGAAGGTAGCTCCTTCATTTAGGGATCAAAACCAAGTATTCTCAAAATTTGATGATTAAAAAAGAAACCTGCTTAAAGTTATGCAGTAAATTGGTCCAGAAAGTGTTGTGTGATAGGAATAGCTCAAGTGAAAGTCTTAGCAAGTCAACCTGTCGCAAGAAATATGGGACTTCCATTGCTGACCACCATATAAAAAACAAGTTGTCCGTGTGACTTATGATTAAGCTTCAGTGCATTTGAGTCATTGATTCAGAATAAGTCTGTAGCCAGGAAAGTCAGATATCCTTATTTGCATATTTTTCCTGTCTCAGGGACTCAAAGGCAACCAACATTCTAAGAAGGAAAATTCAGCAGTGGCAGAATTTGTTTTTCTGACATGATAACTTTAACTCAATTGTTGAATTATCTTGCTTGTTTTTGCACTCCTACTGAATGAAAAATTTTCATTCTAAGCAAATACGGTCTTTAAATGGTCAGAAGTGATATCTTATGTACTGTCCACCTTAGAGATGGGAAAGATGGACAGGTAATTATAAGCCTGTAAATGCACCAGCATTTATGTGAATAAAGGAGAAGTATAGTTAAAGCTCATTTGGCTGTACTTCTGTTGTGGATCACAGGAGTACAGTTCGTTCTGCACTCCTGTGACCTGTTTTCAGCCAACAGCAGGCTTAAGTCTGCTGTCGGATGACATCACTCAGCCAGTCCAGTCTGGAAAAAGATCACGATTTTATAGGGAAGTCACCAGCTCATGGAGCACTCAAAACTGAGTGATCAGCAGTGTTTGCTCAGTTCTCAGAGCCGGACCAATGCTGCATCCACCTAGGTAAGTATGGTTTCTAAAAAAAATAAACTTTTTTAAGTACGTTTTTGAGTCAGCATTTTAGCCAAGAAAGTAGATAGTAACCTTGGATGATGCCTAAACAAAGATGGATCCTTCTTGGGTATTGCCAGGTACTATGATCTCTTTGAGAGGTCAAATATTCCTTTAAGTGTTCTTGGAATGAACAAATCTTTTGTGAAAAATGTCTTTTGAGGCCAGCTTCACCTTAAAGAAAACATGCTAAGAAAATAATGGAGCTACCATTGCAGAGTTCTAGACCCAGATCCAAGTCTTCTGCTAATATAGTTTGAACTTTTGCTAAGTCTGTACTTTGGAGAATATTAAGCTTGACAGCCAGGAAACTGACGTTTGAAGGATTTAATGGTAGCCTCCATATTTCTGTAAGTACAGGTTTCCTTTAATATAATTTCCTGGCAGGTACCTGTGCTTTCTGTGTTTAGAATAGGGGTTCAGCAGCAGGGTGCTATACAAACATTAATTTAAGCACTAAAAGAACAGGTCCAGCAAAATTCATCCACACTGACAGAAGCACTGTTGGACCACGTGCTAAGCAGCTGCTTAGAGCAGACAAAAGCTAAAGTAAACCTAAAGTGGAACTTTTCTCTTTCAATCAACATTAACCTTTTGAATCCTTATGCTGCTAGCATTAGTAAATAGATAGGAATGTATCTTATATTTAATTGTTTTTAAACTTTTTTTACATTTCTTTAGTTACTTCCTAGTTTCCATGCCTAGGCAAACAATGTCATACATCCCAGGAGTCTTCGGGAGGGGAGGAGGGGTTTTCTCAGCAAAGCACACCCACCTGCCTGCATTCCTGAGCTAAGGGCAGATGACAGGAAGTAAATGTTATATGAATCATCTGCACTTACTCAAGATGGCCACAGCCAGAAATGCTAGCAGATTTTTATGCTAAGTGATTTCTCAGAAAAAAATAACGAATGGAGACATGGATGAATGGGGTGAGTTTGCTTGGAATATTAAAAATAAACTGATTTTGGTTTGTGGTGATTAGATATAGTGTACACTTTAAAGCAGAACTTGAGGATAACTGCTAATACACAGTGCAAATATATAGATATACAGTGCTGGGGCAGTGTCCAGGACAAACATTGCAATCTGCGCCCCCCCCCCCCCCCCCACGGGATAGGGCTAATAATGGTGTAAGGTTTACAATGCATATAATGTTTGTTACACGCAGTGAAATAGTACTAATTTACCGTCCAACTTTTGAAGTTGAAATGAGGGTCGTTTCAGGGAAATAGCGGCCTGTGTCACACGGCAATGAAGAGTGGGTGTGCTTCAATTATGATGGCTGGGAGGGGGGAAACTGGCACGCCCTGAGTGCCTCAACTGCTGCATCCTTTAGCTGTAGAGGGAACGCCTGGGAATGTACACCTGCTGTGGCTGTAGTGTTTTGCTTCATAGCTGCAGCATGAATTATACCCCTTGTCAAACTTGAACCATTCAAGTGAATGATGCTGCTCCAAAAGTACCCCGCAACTGTGTGCAATGCACATGGTTTCGGCATGCTAGTAAAGCGTTGAAGAGGTTAAAACAGGCGGTGAGGAGACAATACAAAGCCACCTTACTGCCAGTCAAATGCTCTCTGATTGCTTCTCAGAGACCAAAACACGTAAGAACAAGCATAATTATTTCCTTTTTCCTTTACATTTTTAACAGCCCTGTAGGGAGGCTTTGGTAAAATAGCAGGGGTCTAAACAGACCACTGGTATCTCACTTTTGAGACAGAGACACCATGTGTTTTATTGCATGTGAAAATGCATGTGTTAGCAGATGCATTGGGGTGCCATTAACAGTTAATGGCACTGCCACACATCTACTAATGGACAGTTGGGTTTATTTACTAAAGCTGGAGAGTGCAAAATGAGGCTCACTTCTGCATAGAAAACAATCAGCTTCTAACCTCAGCTTGTTCAATTAAGCTTGGCAATAAAACCTAGAAGCTGATTGGTTTCTATGCAGAAGAGAGTCTGATTTTGCACTCCCCAGCTATAGTAAGTAAAGCCCAGTGTGTTTCTGTGGTTGTTAGAAGAGCCACAATCTTGTGCACATTCCTGACATGCAAAGGTGTGAACCTAGCCTTATAGTGGGCTCACACTGGTGTGCTGCAGATGGCCTCAGTGTGATTGTACGTGTAGTTTTAGGAATGCTCCCATTGAAGTCTATTGCACAGTGCATTTTCTGAAAGCGCATCAAAGCTGCATCATGCAGGACTTTGATGTACTTTCATAAAAATGCAGTGTGTAATAGAATTTATTGGAAGAGCACATAAAACCACAGGTACACTGCACATACAATCACACTGTGGCCACACTCAAAGAGTGAATAGGCAAGGGGGTTCTGGGTAGTAAGAGTATATTATAATGAAGAGCTGAGTGAAGGAGTGCAGAGAAAGTGCTAGGGCTGCATCATGGAGATAGGACTGTTAGTAGAGTAGTAAACGGATGGAAAGGGTATCAGCCAGATGGCTGTGTGGAATGCCCAAAGCTGAGACCAGAAGCTAATTAAGTTAATGCGAACAGGAGAGAGAAGCAGGAGAGTTGTTACTATTGTTCAGAAAAGGTAAGGAAACTAGAACAGCTGGAAATGAGAGAAGCTGGACACAGTGAAAGTTATCATCAAGGAAGAAAGTGACCCAGGAAGGAGAACAACCTGAGGGCGAGAGTGGAGCTTGGAATGAGAGGACAGCATAATGGCTGCAGGAGAGATAAGACAGAGTTGAAGTGGCCAGAATGGATGGTTGTACAGTAATATGATGAGGGAGAATGACAGCTCCTGTCAGGCAGGAGAAGTGGCAGCTCCCAATGTGAACCCCCTCACCACGAATTAAGATAACTCCCAGGGCAGGTGTCCCTTCTGCAAACACCCCCCCCCCCCCCCCCCCCCCCCGGCCCTGGAGATATATTTACTGTCTTACCAGAAATTCTGTACAGCCATCCTTCTGAATTATGCACATCAGCCAGGGGTAGCATTGGCAACTATCATCATGGATAAAGTATTAATTGTGGCTTAAGTATTACACTTCAGCTCTGCATCATCTGATTAACTCTTCTCTATCCCATCACAGGTAATTGTCTGAGACTAATATCCATCTGTAATATCGCCCATGCCATGTATTATTATTATACAGGATTTATATAGTGCCAACAGTTTGCTCAGTGCTTTACATTATAGTTGGAGACAATACAGTAACAATACAGTTCAATACAAGAGGGATTAGAGGGCCTTGCTTCTTGGAGCTTACAATCTTGAAGGGCGGGGTGAGTGGTACAGTAGGTAGTCACTGTGGGGGATGGAGTGGTTGGAAGAGTAGAGGATACCAGAATTAGCAGAGGGCAGGATAGGCTTCCCTGAAGAGAGAGGTTTTCAGTGAACGCCGAAAGGCAAGTAGAGTAGGTGATAATCTGATAGATTGGGGTAGGGAGTTCCAGAGGATGGGTGACACCCTGGAGAAGTCTTGGAGACGAGCATGGGAGGAAGAGATAAGGGAGCTAGAGCGTAAGAGGTCTTGCGAGGAGCGGAGTGTACGGTTTGGGTGATATTTAGAGATAAGATCGGTTATGTCATTGTCAGAGTTTTGAATTTTATCCGTTGGGCAACTGGGAGCCAGTGGGGGGATTGGCAGAGAGGGGTGGCGAATATGGAACGGTTAGTGAGGTGGATGAGTCGGGCAGCAGCGTTCATGATAGACTGGAGGGGGGATAGTCTACAATGAGGTAGGCCAATGAGGAGGGAGTTACAGTAGTCGAGGCGTGATGACAAGGGAGTGAATGAGTTGCTTAGTGGTTTCCGGGGTTAGGAACGGTC